GGCGGTTTAACAAAAGTTTTCCCCGGGAATATTTTGTGGGACATCTGCTAGGCTTTGAAGGGTGAGATCTGAAACCTGGGACTAGAATTGTAACTTGTTGAGTCAGTTTCTTTTTTTTTTTAAATGTATTTTATTGATTTTTTTACAGAGAGGAAGGGAGAGGTATAGAGAGTTAGAAACACCCATGAGAGAGAAACATCGATCAGCTGCTTCCTGCACACCCCCCTACTGGGGATGTGCCCGCAACCAAGGTACATGCCCTTGACCGGAATCGAACCCGGGACCCTTGAGTCCGCAGGTTGAGCCAATCCGGCTAGGGCAAGTCTCAGTTTCTTAATTCAAAAAGCGGGGATGGTGATTGCTGTCTTATTGATTTCTGAGTTTTAATATTAGGAAGATCAAGTGAGATCCCGTTTGCCACAGTGCTTTGAAAAAGGAAATCGTCCGCAGTCCAGAAAAAAAAAAGCTGGCTGTCATTTTTCATTCATTACATTATCAAGGATTGAAGAAAATGGTAGGCAAATGCTTTGACAACAGAAACCCTGTTCAGTGCAACAACAAAAACTACTAACAACAATAATAGCCCCCTCTCTTCTGGGCTTTTTATGTTCCAGGCACTGTTCTTAGAGCCTCACATTTCTTAACTCATGTATTGCTCATAATAAGTTTGTGTAATAATGTACATGTATACTAATCTATGATCATTATCCCCATTTTACAGATAGAGGAACAAAGGCACGGAGAAGTTAAGTGACTTGTCCAAGGTCACACAGCTAGTTAAGTGTCCCACGCAAGAATTTCAGCCAAGGTTCTAGGTAAGACAATGAAAACATATTCAGGCCCATTACTTTTGTTTCTTTTGAAACAAATGATGGATGCTAAGCAAACAGGGTGTGGTCTAGACACACAATTTCAAAGTGTAAATTGTCACAACTTGTTGGAAATCAGTTTAGTGTGACATATCTAAAGCCTTAAAAATGAGCACAACCTCACACATAGACAAATACCGCCTGATTCTATTTATATGAGATATCTAAAATAGTCAAACCGCTAGAAAGTAGAATGGTAATTGCCAGGGGCTGGGAGAGGGGGGAAAAGGAAGATGTTCAGTGGATAGGGAGTTTTGCAAGATGAAAAAGTGCTAGAGATCTGTTGTACAACAGTGTGACTATAAAAATGATTAAGAGGGTAAACCTTAAGTGCCTTTTTAAATCAGATTTTAAAAAAGAGCATAGCCAGGCTGGTGTAGCTCAGTGGTTCAGGGTCGACCTATGAACCAGGAGGTCAGGGCTTGATTCCCAGTCAGGGCAGATGCCTGGGTTTGGGGCTCAATCCCCTGTTTAGGGAATGCAGGAGGCAGCCAATCAATGATTCTCTCTCGTCATTTCTCCCAGAGAAATTCTTGCACATGTGAACCATGAAACATGGATCAAGAATGTTCAAAGCAGCACTGTTTGCAAAAGCAAAAGACCAGAAACAACCGCATTTTTATCATCAAGGGAATGGACAGTCTGTTGGTATATTCATGCATTGGCCTACCACACAGTGGTGAATGGGTGTACTGGAGGGAATGGACAGTCTGTTGGCATATTCATGCAATGGCCTACTACACAGCGGTGAATGAATGTACTGGAGGCAATGGACAATCTATTGGTATATCCAGGCAATGGCCTACCACACAGCGGTGAATGGTGAATGAATGTAGTGAAGCTCTGTGAATTAGTCTGGATGAATTTCAGTGTCTTAATTTGCACTCCACCCATAGCAGAGTGTTTGAAACAAATCTTTCCATATTTAGGAAGTGATCCCAGGAATCAGAAATGGTGAGAAGAAAAGGAAGCAAAACCAATAAAATGTGCATTACTGAGCTACTGATGACTGTGGGCTACTGTGCTCATTCCCACTGGGAGCTCTCTGAGAGTTGTGAAGAATACAGCTCAGAACTGTCCCTCTGAGGTGCGAGGCTGGAGTGCTTTCCTCTATCTCCTGTCCCAGCAGGTTGATCCCCTGAGGTATTAACTTTCCTGAACTCCTGAGCTGCCCACAGGTCAAACAGCCTTCCCAAGTTTTGTAGAGAGCCCGAGTGAGATGAGCAAAGAACTGCTGTGGCCTCGGGGTGGCATGCTGGCAGCTTGTTGGCAAGTTTCAGTTACCCCGAAATCGAGTGGGTTGAGGGACATGGTTTGGCCCACCACAGGTGTCAGCTAGGCTCAGAAATGAATGTTGACTGAAAAAAGGAAATTACGGAGAATTAGGTATAATGTGCTCCATTTTTAGAAGGTTCAAAAACACGTAAAAGTATATAATGCTTTGGGGTCTCCCCCATATATATTTTATTATTGAAATATTATGTGATATGTGCTTTTTGTAAAAACCATGAAGAGTAAAGATGAAAGTTTCTCTCTTCTCTCTCCCCTCCCATCAATCTCATTGCCCTTTCCAGAAAGAACCATTTTTAAAATTTATTTTTTATTTAAGTATAGTTTGTACACAATTTTATATTGTTTATATTACTTTCAGGCGTACTATATAGTGATGTGACATTTTTATACCTTACCATGTGATCACCCTACTAATTCTAGTAATCATTTGTCACGTGTGCATTTATCACAATATTATTAACTATATTCCCCTTCACCTTTTTCGTCCATCCCTCCACACCATCCCTTTTGGCAACAACCCATTGGTCTCTATTTCTATGAGTCTGTTTTTGTTTCATTTGTTTTGTTTTTTAATTCATTGTTAAGGATACAATTATGGATGTTGTGAATATACAGTTATGGATATTATGAAAGCTGTCGAGACAGTCAGGAAAGGGTTTATCGCAGGTTGGTAGACAGTAAGCACGTTTGCTTGTCAGGACGCATGTGTCGGGGTGCAGCTGGAGATAAAGGCAGTGAGTTCAAGAAGGTGGCTAATTGGTAGATGTCTTTGAAACCGACCTTCAAGTTTACTCAGATTTGGAAAGTAAGTGGGAGCAAGCTTTTCGGAAAGGGTGCTTTAGGGTCAAAACTTATGAAAAGGAATCACTATGCAGTTAGCTGGGGAGGGGAAGGGTGTGAGGGCCAAAGGTCCCTGACACCCGGTGGCATTTGGAGTTTCCCTCACTTTTTAAGGGAGGCCTCTCTCTGCTCTGTTCCCTTATCAGGGGCAGACAGGCAGGGCGGAGCTTGTGGTGTGTAGGGGCAGCTAGAAGGGAGTCTGTGGGACAGAGAGGGAGCCCCTGGGTGAGGGCTGTGGGCATTAGAATGAAAGGAGAGCTTTTCCCAGGCCCACCTCCAGAGCCCTTCCCGACCCCTCTGCCTGATGCCTGATCTCCCCGGATGGATGGAGGGAGGCTCCGCAGCTTGGAGACTCCAGCTCTGCCGCACAAAGGGCCCTTGATTCCAAAGGTGGTGAGTGCTCCTCCCTTTCCCCTTCTTCATTCTCTTTAGTCCTTTAACTTTCTCAGGATCTTCAGGTTCGTTGGATAAACTATCCCCTTTCTCCTTACTCCCGAGAACATTTTAAAATATAAATATATACATACTTTTATTGATTTCAGAGAGGAAAGGAGAGGGAGAGAGAGAGAAACATCAATGATGAGACAATCACTGATCGGCTGCCTCCTGCATGCTCATACTGGGGATCGAGCCCACAACCTGGGCATGTGCCTTGACTGGAAATCGGACCGTGACCTCCTGGTTCATAGGTCGATTCTCAACCACTGAGCCATGCTGGCCAGGCACAAGACATTTTAAAGGACGAAATGAGGCAATGGGAAATGGGAAGCACAAAAGGGGAAGAGAGAGCAATGGGAAATGGGAAGCACAAAAGGGGAAGAGAGAGAAGGAGCCTGGGTGAGTTTTGTCTAAAGACTCTCATTCAAGTATTATTGTCATCACCATTGGTATTATAGCTATCACTAATTTAGTCCTTACTATTAGCCAGGCCCTGTGCTGTGTGCTTTCAGACTGATCATTTGTAGATTTGCAGGGTCTTCTGAAGTTGCTTAGAGCTATTAAGGGAACTTCTGCTGTAATGCTTTTCCTCACCCGTAGAAGTAACCACTGTTTACTATCTACACTCTTGCCTTTTTGCTAAGCATCTTCTCCCTAAATTGTATCATACTATCCATAGCTTTTTCAAGTTACTATTTGGGTTACAATGAAAACTTCCAAAATGCCTCTCTCTCTCGAAACCCAGGCATGTGCCCTTAATGGGAATCGAACCCAGGACCCTTCAGTCCGCAGACTGATGCTCTGTCCACTGAGCAAAACCAGCTAGGGCCCAAATGCTCTTAAAGATGGTTTTAGCATGTGTGTATGAAATGCTGTGTAGTATTTCATTGCAAGAATGTGCAACTATTAGTTAATCATTCCCATTTTAATGAACTTTTAGGTTGTTTTTAATTTTTCCTTTTCACAAGAAGCTTTGTGATGAGCATCCTCACCATCAAATCCTTATGCACATCCTTATTTATTTCCACAGAATTCTTTTCTGGAAGTAAAATTACTGGATTAAAACTTTTGCAAATTTATAAATCATTTGATACTGTGAAAGTTGATTTGCACTGGGCAAGCGAGTCATTTTCCCACCTGTGTAATAACTCTGGGTATTATTTTTTCTAATATTTGATAATTTCAGGGAAGACAAAGTCATATCTAACTGTGGTCTTAGTCTGCATTTCTCTGATGACTAGAGAGTAAAAGTCCATTTCTGGTGTCATCCTCTCCCGGGTTGGTTTGCCTCTATGGCTGCTTAACGTGACTTCATGACGTGCTTCAGGGAGACTCCCTGGCTGAAACCACCTCGGTTGCCCTTGTCACACAGAGTCACAATCTGATGGAAAGACTTCATTTGCCTTTTTATTCTTAGAATCTGGTGCAAATCATTTCACATGTATTTTCTATGAGTCCTATCTACGAAGTAGGTACTATCATTAACTCCATTTCATGTGTGAATGAGAGAAGACTTGGAGGAGTAACCTAGACTGTCTAAGGTCACATAGCTGGCAATGGCAGAGCCGGGGCTTGGCCCCAGGCTGACCTCTTAATCACAATAAGCAATCTGAATTTAAGAAGATGGGGCCATGGTGCGGGGAGGGCTCCTCTTATTTGATTTCAGGCAGCCCCAGTTCAGTTTGGAGCTCTGTGCTACTCTGGGCATGTCTACTCAGGGTGTGTTTCAAAAGCACCTTTTAATTGAGGGTGTTGGGGATTAGGGATCCTGGGTCCTGCCTACTTCTACCATCAACAATAATTGATAAGGTAGAGAGCTTTTCTCATTTACCTAACTTCTCCTGTTCAGTTTCTGAATAGCTGGCAACCTGCAGGAAAATGAATGGGATTGAAGCAAAAAAATATATCCTAACTATAATCCTAACCTCACTGTGTCCTAGTGTTATGTGGCCATTTGCAACACTGGGGGAGTAGAGAAGTATGCTGTGTGAATCATGATTAAAAACAAAAACAGCCCTGGCTGGTTGTTCAGTGGTTAAAGCATTGGCCCTAAGACCAAACGGTTCAGTTCCGGCCAAGGGCATGTACCTCGGTTGCAGGTTCATCCCAGGCCCCTGTCAATGTTTTTATTCTCTCTCTCTCTCCCTCCTCTCCCTCCCTCTTTTCTCTCTCTAAAAAAAATCAATGGAAAAAATATCCTCAGGAGAGGATTAAAAAATAAAAAAGCCCAGTGGGAAAAAAATTTAAAAAATAAAAAAGCCAGTGGGTTTGGTTCAGTGGTTGAGTTTCAACCCATGATACCGCCCCCCCCCCCACATGCCCAAGTTGTGGGCTCAATCCCCAGTAGGGGGTATGCAGGAGGCAGCTGATGGATATGTTTTTCTCACATTCATGTTTCTCTCTCTATCCCTCTCCCTTTCTCTCTTTCTAAAATCAATAAAAACATATTTTAAAAAAGTCAAATAAAAACAAAACATCCCTAAACCAGTGTGCTCTTTGCCATAAGAAAAAAAGAATTGGAAATGTGTTCAAAGCTTAAGTCACTTCATGTCCCAACCTCTCTTTGACAGCCCCACCTCCTCCAAGCCCCATCTTTGTCCTTTAGGGACCTGGCCTGATAACTTTCACCAAGCCCCTCCTCTTCCGAAAGGATCTGAAGTCTTGGAGAGAATGTAAGAGATGATCTCTTCCTGAAGTATTTTATTATAGTTCTTCCCCAATGGTAGCATGGAAGATCTGTTTCCTGCTATAGGAATTTCAGGCAGTCAAGGTGGTGGGAAAGACTTTTAGAGTAAGGAGTCCTTTAGGGTTTCCCTGTGGTTAATGCACTCAGTGCCCACACCTCCTGTGGATAACAGCACATTTATTGGGCACTTGTTCTGCCAGGCATTTGTGGCAAGTTCTTTTTTTTTAAATATGTTTTTATTGATTTTTTTTAGAGAGAAAGGAAGGAGAGGGATAGAGAGATAGAAACATTGATGAAAAACATCATTAGCTGCTTTCTGCTCGCCCCCTACAGGGATCGAGCCTGCAACCTGGTCATGTACCCTGATCGGGAATCAAACCAGGGACCTCTTGGTTCATGGGTCAATCAATGTTCAAGCACTAAGCCTCACCAGCTGGGCTGTGGCAAATTCTTTTCTTTTTTTAAAAAAAATAAATCTTTATTGTTCAGATTATTACAGTTCCTCCCCCTCCCCCCCGATAGCTCCCCTCCACCTGGTTCCCACCCCACCCCCTGCCCTTACCCCCCTCCATTGTCCACGTCCATAGGTTTACGATTTTTGTCCAGTCTCTTCCCGTACCCCCCACCTCC